GGCAGGACCTGGCGCGGGGAGGGGGTCTACCTGGGGAGCACCTGGAGCGAGGAAGAGCGGTGGGGGGGGGAGAGGGGCAGTGCGGTAGGGGAAGAGACGGTAAAAGGGAACCGACTCGTCGAACGTGACATCCTGAGACGCAAAGACACGGCGCGAGGTGGGGTGGTAAAACTGCCAACCGGGCGCGTCAGGGACAAAGCCAAGGAAGACACAGGGAACAGCGCGGGCGGAGAGCTTGTCCGCGGTGGTATCGCGAACGTAGGCACGAGCACCCCAGACCCGGAAACGCGACGCATCGCCAACCTTCCCCGTCCACAGCAGTGTGGGCGAGGTCTCCGGCAAGGAGACACGGGGCCAGAGGTTGAGCTGATGCGCGGCGTACCGGACCGCAAACGGCCACAGAAAATGGGGGGCAGCCGCATGGATCATGGAGGTACGAGCGACCTCCATGACTAAGCCAATGCGGCGCTCAGCAACCCCATTCTGCTGCGGAGAGGCCGGAAGCGTGAACGTCTGGCGGATGCCGCGCTCCGCACAGTAGGCTGCCAAGAGGTCTGAGGTGAACTCACCACCTCTGTCAGAGTGCTGACGCAGGACAGGAAAGTCCCGCTCGAACCGCTCGCGGAGCTGGAGACGAACAGCGCGGATCCAAGGGATCAAGACATTAGGGACGTCCCCCTTGCTCTGCAAGGGGAAGACCGTGGTGTAGCGCGTGTAGTCGTCGACAACCAGCAGGAAGTACCGCTCGTGGCCGTGTCCACGGACGCGGGCTGGGCCCCACACGTCCAGGTGGAGCGTCTGCAGAGGAGCCTCCGTGGGAGGGAACGAGGAGGAGTGAGGAGCGGCGCGCTGCCGCCCCTCGACGCAAGGAATGCAGGGCGGCGCAGGCGAGGGAGGGAGGGCAGGCAGAGACCTGGGAAGACCAGAGACCAGGGAGCGAGAGTGCATGCGACGAAGGCGAGGCAGGGAGGGGTGACCAAGGCGGTGGTGCCACAGGAGAGTGTCGTGCGACAAAGCGCGACACTCGCAGGGGGCCGCCAGCTGACCTGACGTAGACGCAGACGCAGCTACCTGAGGGGACTCAGTGGTCAGTGTGTACAGACTCGAGCCAGGTGCACGGGTGAACGTGGCCAAGTGTCGGCCCGTCCTAGCACACGTACAGTGAGTCACTCGCTGACTCGCAGGAGTGAACTGGTCAACCCCCTGATCCTGGAGGTCAGCTCCACTCACCAAGTTCGTAGAGAACGAGGGGAGGTAAAGACCTGACAGCGAGCCAGACGGGGCGGCCGGACATGGCAGAACCGTGGAGTAGTGAGCAAGGACTGGACCCCCGGAGGGGTCCGCCAGGGAGACTGGAACTGGCCGACTAAGCGGCGTGAGTGTGGTGCAGTCGCGAAAGAAGGAGCGGGAAGCACCTGAGTCAAGGGTGAAGGTGTGCGAGACCGCAGCAGGCGCAGTACCAGAGAGAGCAGACACACCAGCACCTAGAGCAGCAGCCTCACCAGCACCTAGAGCAGGGGACGCACTAGCACCTAGAGCAGCAGCCTCACCAGCACCTAGAGCAGGAGACGCACGAGCACCTAGAGCAGCAGCCTCACCAGTACCGGGAGCAGCAGGCTCTATACCAGGGTCAGGCGGTACGCACAGGTAACAGGCACGGTCAGCACTAGTAGGCAATGCATACATGGCAGTGAGAATAGCATCATAGTCAAGAGCAAAGATATCTACCCTCTGGTCAAACAGCTCCACCCAGGTGGGGAGCTCAGCCTCGTCGCCAAACTCGGTACGCCAGGCGTCGCTCAGACGGGCAAAGCAGCGGGACTGTGTGTGACCAAGCGTCCCGCAAGGCTGACCAGTCCGATCACCTGTGCGAATGACGTACGGGCAGCGAACTGTACGCGTAGACCTGCTACACTGAGCGTACCACTCATGGAGCTGCTGGGACGTAAGTGTCTCGCGTGGACGCCGCTGCAGCTGCAGCTGGCCACTGCCAGACGCTCCCAACTGACCAGCTCCAGGGCGACAGCTACGACGGCTACCGCGACAACCCCAGCTAGTATACCACTCACTAAGCTGCTGGGGCGTGAGAGGCTCGCGTGAACGTCGCTGGAGCTGCATCTGGCCACCTGCCAGTAGCAGTAGCAGCAGCAGTAGCGTGGGCAGGGCACGCGCGTCAGGCAGGCAGGCAAGCAGGCAGGCAGGCAGGCCGACAGGCAGGCAGGCCGGCAGGCAGGCAGGCAGACAGACAGGCAGGCCGGCAGGCAGGCAGGCAAGCAGGCAGGCAGGCAGGCAGGCCGGCAGGCAGGCCGGCAGGCAGGCAGGCAGGCGCGCAGGCAGGCAGGCAGGCAGGCAGGCAGGCCGGCAGGCAGGCAGGCAGGCAGGCAGGCGCTCACCAAAGGCTGGGAGAGCAGGCGCTCACCGGGCGAGCAGGGCCGGCGCTCAACGGGCGGCGGCCGAGTAGGCGCACGACAGCGGCGACGTCGGGGCCGCAACAACGGCTGCAGAGCAGGGCCGAAGCAGCTGCAGGGCGGGGCCGCTTCAGCGGCAGTTGCAGGGTGGGGCCGCGTCAGCGGCAGGTCGGGGCCGTGGCAGCTGCAGGGCGGGGCCGCATCAGCGGCAGGTCGGGGCCGTGGCAGCTGCAGGGCGGGGCCGCATCAGCGGCAGGTCGGGGCCGAGGCAGAGGGCCGCGCGCGGCTCGGCGCGGGCTGCGCTGACAGCACACTAAACTACTGCGGGCCGCGCGCGGCTCGGCGCGGGCTGCTGCGGGCCGCGCGCGGGCCGCGCGAGGCAGTAGCAGGCCGCGCGCGGCTCGGCGCGGGCTGCTGCGGGCCGCGCGCGGGCCTCGCGAGGCCGTAGCAGGCCGCGCGCGGCTCGACGCGGGCTGCGTGGGCTCAGCAGCGGGCTGCGCGCGGCTCGGTGCGGGCTGCGCGCGGCTGCAGCGGGCTGCGCGCGGCTCGGTGCGGGCTGCGCGCGGCTGCAGCGGGCAGCGTGGGCTCAGTGCGGGCTGCGCGCGGCTCGGTGCGGGCAGCGCGCGGCAGCAAGGGGCCTAACGGTCTGCAGGGGCTGTTCGCGGGCCTGAAGGGCGTGTAGGGGCGGCGCGCGGGCCTCACGGGCCTCTAGGGGCAGTACGCTGGCCTAGGGCAGTAGGATGCAGCTCTAGGGCTGCTGGACGGCGCGCGTAGTGCAGCACGTCACAAGGCAAGGCAAGGCAGGCAGGTACGTGGGGTAGCGAAGTAACCGCAGCGGTAGGTGGGCCCGAAAAAAAAAACGGTCCTACGGACCTTAGTGCTCTGATACCATGTTAGAATCTAGCAGCAGGAATGAATGAACTAGTAGCATGCAGGAGTACAAGTAGTAAACCCTAATTTGGGTTGTACCCCATATGGGCTACCCCACTACAGCCTAGACAATATGCAGCATATGTTTGACACTCGCTGCTGCAACTCTCGAGCCAGGAAGTAACGCAGAGCAATATGCTTCGTTCTGTGCTCCAGTCTGTGCTCCTCACACAAGGCAATAGCAGCCTTGTTGTCGACGTACAGCACTGGAGGAGAACGAGGCCGCTCTCCCAGGTCGGTCAGCAGGTAGGTGAGCCAACGCAACTCCTGTGCAGCCATGGCAGTGGCGTAGATCTCAGCCTCACAACTGGAGCTGAGAACTGAAGACGAGCGAGTAGAACGCCAAGAAACAGAGCCAGAGCCAAGGCTGAAAGTGTAACCCTGTGACGACCGCTGCGTAGCCTGGTCGTCAACCCAAGACGCGTCTGAGTGCCCAGTGAGGACCACCTCACTCCGTCCTCCAAGCACTAGCCCCATGCCTGATGTGCTGCACAAGTAGCGCAGTACCCTCTTAGCAGCAGCCATGTGCTCAGGTCGGTGCCGACCAGGAGCTACGTAGCGAGCCAGAAGACCAAGAGGGTACGCGAGGTCAGGTCGAGTGCAAGTCATCAGGTACATGAGGCAGCCGACTAGCTCTGGGTAAGGACCACTCGGCTCTACGGACTCGTCCGAAGGTGGAGCTGAGAGCGAGTGACCTGTCGCCAGAGGAGTGGCCTGTGCTGAAGACCAGGTGAAGCCGAAGCGCTGAAGGACCTGCTGCACCATGTGTGACTGAGTCAGGGTGATGGTGTGGCGTGCTCTGTCCCGGGTGATCTGCATGTCAAACATTATATATGTTGTGTTTGTTTAGGCTACAGTGGGTTAGCCTATAAGGGGTACACAATTCTAGGGTTAGGTACTTGTACTGATTTCACTGTTAGTTCAACCATTCCTGTCCGTTCATTCTGACATGGTTTCAGAGCAGGTCCGTCACTAGGACCGTTTTAGGGCCCACCGTTACCTACCTACCTACCTACCTACCGTGCGCCCTCGTGCGCCTACGCGCCCTCGTGCGCCTTCTACCTACCGCGCGCGCGCAACCCGCCAGCCACCCGCGCGCGGCTCGTCTTTTTTTTTTTTTTAACGCGCGCGACCCGCTAGCCGCCCGCGCGCGGTCGATTTTTCGCGCGCGACCCGCTAGCCGCCCACACGCGGCCGTTTCTTCGCGCGCTGCCCCGCGTGCTGCTCGCAAGCTGCTCGCGCGCTGCCTGTGCGCCGCTGCCCGCGCGCCTGTGCGCTCGCTGCCGCGCTCGCTGACGCGCCCGCTGCTGCAGCCGCCCGTCACCTGCTCCGCGGTCGCGCGCCGCTGCAGCTCCTGCTGTCGCGCCCGCTGCTGCTGCCGCCCGTGCGCCGCTGCAGCTCCTGCTGCCGCGCTCCCTACTACTGCCGCCCGTGCGCCATTACCGACCGTCAACCCCGCCCGCGCCTCTCCTAGCGGCCCCGCCGGCCGGTCGATTCCGCCTGCGTCCCACCTAGTAGCCCCGCCGGACCTATCGACCCCGCCCGAACTCCGCATAGAGGCCCCGCCGGCCCCGTTGACCCTGCGCACACCTTTCAAGCGGCCTTGTTACTACTGCTACTACTGCTACCACTACTGTTTCTACTACTACTGCTACTGTCACTATGGCTAGTCCTACCGTACTCGCTTTCGATGCCGAGGGCCGTCCAGTGAAGTTCGAAACCTGGCTAGATGACCTGCACCTTTTCCTACAGCTCACTGCCAAGGAGGATATCTCACTGTACGACCACGCCCTAGGCCATGCTACTGCCCCTGACACTTCTGCTGACAGCACTCTGCGCTCCCAGTGGCAGACTCGTGACGCGCACGCTCGCTTCGCTATTCGCAACTCCCTACCGCTAGACGAGCGCGAGCACTTCGGCCAGTGCAAGACTGCTAAGGAACTGTACACAGCCGTAGTTGGTCGTTACTCCTCACCGGCTTCTGCTACACTAGGCCGCCTCTCACTGCCCTACCTGTTCCCCGATCTGGCCTCCTTTCACACTGTTGCTGACCTCATCACCCACCTCAAGACTAGTGAGGCCCGCTTTCGCGCTGCTATGCCTGCCGAGTTCCTTGCTACCAACCCCCCCCCCTCTGGCTCACTCTCTACCACATTGTTACCCGCCTCCCTGACTCTCTGCGTGCAGTCAGGGATTCCTTTCTAGCTCGCTCCCCTACTGAGCTCACCATTGCCCTCCTCGAGAAGGACCTACTTGCAGCTGAGGCGAGCATCGTCGCCGTAGGTGCCTCTCGTGGCGAGCCCCGCACCCCCTTCTTTGAGGGGTGTTCCCCTTCCCCCCTTCTCCCCTCTGTCGCCTCTGCTGCTGCTGTCGACCTCCTTGGTGCTGAGAAGGTCGGGACCGCGTCTGCTCCGAGCGGGCGCCGCAGGAGCAAGGGGGGCAAGGGTGGAGGTGGTGGCGGGGGAGGCGGGGGTGGTGGCGGTGGGGGTGGAGGTGGGACTGGAGAGGCTAGTGGCGGCAGTGGGGGTGGTGACAGCAGCGGCGGGAGCAGTGGCAGGGGCGGAGGCGGCAGCGGAGGCGGAGGTGGTCGTGGCGGCGGCAGGGGTGGAGGTGGCCGAGGCGGTGACGGCGGCGGTGGTGGTCGTGGAGGCGCTGGCGGTGGCCAGAGCCAGCAGCACGCCCCGTCGCTCCAGGAGGCACGTGAGTGGTACTCGCAGCGGGGGGGGGCGGGTGGCTTTACCTGCACGTACGTCATCCGCACTGGTGACCGCACTGGCCAGACGTGTGGGAGGCCGCACCCCACGCACCGCTGTTTCTCGCGCCTTACCGACGCTTGGCGCGCTCAGTTCCCTGGCGGCGCTGAGCTTCCCCGCTGGGGTGATCTGGAGAGGAAGGGAGTTGATATCTGGGCCTTAGACTTTGATGCTATTCTCACTGCCATGTATGCGATGTTTACTAGTGGAGAGGGTGCTCAGTACTTGCGTGTTCCGCCCGACCCGGGCATTCTGACCAGTCCGGCTGCCGCTCTAGGTGCTAGTGAGTCTGCTGCCCCAGGTCCTGGTGAGGCTGCTGCTCTAGGTGCTCGTGAGTCGGTCCCCCCTGGTACTGAGTCGACTGCAGCACTTCACACCTTCACACTGGACTCTGGTGCTTCTCGCTGTTTCTTTTGTGACCGCACTGTCCTTGAGCCACTCGCTCGGCCAGTTGCTGTCTCCCTCGCTGACCCCTCTGGGGGTCCGGTCATTGCGACCTCCTCCACTGTCCTTCCTTGTCCTGCGGTCCCGTCAGGCACACTGTCAGGTCTCTACCTCCCCTCGTTCTCTACGAACTTGGTGGCAGGTAGTGCGCTCCAGGACGGGGGTGTTCACCAGTTCACCCCTGCATACGAGCGCGTGACACACTGCACGTGTGCTCGGACGGGCCGCCACCTGGCTACCTTCACTCGAGAGCCGGGGTCGGACCTGTACACACTGACCACTGAGTCCCCTCAGGTAGCTGCGTCTGCGTCTGCGTCTGCGTCTGCGTCAGGTCAGCTGTCCGCCCCCTGCTCGTGTCGCTCTCTGGCGCATGAGACTGTCCTCTGGCACCACCGCCTTGGTCACCCGTCTGTGCAGCGCCTTCGGGCCATGCACAAACGGGACCTTGTTGCTGGTCTTCCCAGGGTTCTCCCTCCCCTCCCACCCTCGCCTGCTCCTCCCTGTCTTCCCTGTGTCGAGGGGCGGCAGCGCGCCGCTCCTCACTCCTCCTCCTTTCCCCCGATGACTGCTCCTTTGCAGACGCTCCACATGGACGTGTGGGGCCCAGCCCGCGTCCGTGGTCACGGTCAGGAGAGGTACTTCCTGATTGTTGTTGACGACTTCTCGCGCTACACCACGGTCTTCCCCTTGCGCACCAAGGGTGACGTCCCTGATGTCTTGATCCCTTGGATCCGCAGATCTCGTCTCCAGCTCAGTGAGCGTTTCCGCTCCGACTTCCCTGTCCTGCGTCTGCACTCTGACAGAGGTGGGGAGTTTTCCTCTGGCCTCTTGGAGGCCTTCTGTCAGCAGGAGGGCATTGAGCAGTCGTTCACGCTTCCGGCCTCTCCACAGCAGAACGGGGTTGCTGAGCGCCGCGTTGGCTTGGTCATGGAGGTCGCTCGTACCTCCTTGGTTCATGCGGCTGCCCCCCACTTTCTGTGGCCGTTTGCAGTCCGATACGCTGCGCATCAGCTCAACCTCTGGCCCCGTGTCTCCTTACCAGAGACTTCTCCGACACTGCGTTGGACGGGAGAGGCTGGCGATGCGTCACGTTTTCGGGTCTGGGGATCCCGAGCTTTTGTTCGCGACACGTCCGCGGACAAGCTCTCCCGTCGCGCTGTCCCCTGTGTCTTCCTTGGCTTTGTCCCGGACGCGCCTGGTTGGCAGTTCTACCACGCCACCTCGCGTCGTGTCCTGGCCTCTCAGGACGTCACTTTTGACGAGTCCGTCCCCTACTACCGCCTCTTCCCCTACCGCACTGCCCCACTCCCCCCCCCGCCTCTCTTCCTGGCTCCAGGTGCTGAGGTACCAGACCCCCTTCCCCCTCAGGGTGCCGCTCCCTCAGGTGTGTCCCAGGTAGACCCGGGTGAGCCTGTCGAGGTAGCTGTTGACTCTCGTCCTGCTGGGGGTGCTGAGCCTGGGGGTGCTGAGCCTGGGGGTGCTGCGTCTGGGGGTGCTGAGCCTGGGAGAGCTGAGTCTGGAAGTGCGGAGCCTGGGGGTGCTGAGCCTGGGGGTAGTGAGCCTGACGGTGCTGAGTCTGCGGGTGCGGAGCCTGGGGGTGCTGAGTCTGGGGGTACTCCACCTGGAGGAGCCCTCTCCTCACAGCGGCTGCAGGAGCGGTACCTACAGTACTGCCGCCTCCGGAGAGGTACTGCTGGAGCTGGTCGCGGTGCTTCCCCTCCTGCCCGGGAGCTCCCCCCCCTCCAGCAGATCCGAGAGTGGTACACGCGGCGCTGCAGTCTTCGGAGTGGTGCTCCTGGTGCTGCGGACCCTGGGGGTGGCGCTGCTACTGGTGCTGAGGACCTGGGCGTTGGAGCTGCTGCTGGTGCTGAGGACCCGAGCGGTGGCGCTGCTGCTGGTGCTGAGGACCCGGGCGTTGGAGCTGCTGCTGGTGCTGCGGACCCGAGCGGTGGCGCTGCTGCTGGTGCTGAGGACCCGAGCGTTGGAGCTACTGCTGGAGCTGAGGACCCGGACGGTGGAGCTGCTGCTGGTGCTGAGGACCCGAGCGGTGGAGCTGCTGCTGGTGCTGAGGACCCGGACGTTGGAGCTGCTGCTGGTGCTGAGGACCCTGCCGCTGGTGTCTCTGCTGGTTCTGGAGACGCTGCGCGGCCGCGACCGTACTTCGTACCACTTCTTCAGCAGGTTCTTGGTCAGGCTCCTCCTCCTTGTCCTCCTCCCTCCGTAGAGTGTCCTCCGCCTGTCCAGTCGCAGTCACAGTTACCGCCTGCCTCGCCTCTCCCTGGTCCCTCTCCTTACACTGGTCCCACAGGAGGTCTTGCAGAGCGTCGTGAGCCTGCGTCTCGTCCTGCGTCGCCTGTTCGTACTGCTCGCACTGGTCGTCGTGTCCCACGTGAGCGTCCTCCTCCTGTCCCTGGCACTCACTACATGACTCTGCATCCCTCCACTGCTCCTCAGCGTGTCCCGCTACCGTCTCCTCCTGCGTCCTCTCTGCCTACTCTTCCTGACCCGGAGTCTGACTCCCGTCGTGCTGCCAGTCCCACGGTCACCCGTCTTCTCGCCACTGTTGTCACTGACCCTACCTTTGAGTCCTCTGCTGCGTCTGCTCTGGTCGCTGAGTTGATAGACTTTGCTGCCCGGTGTCGTCTAGACTACGCCACTAGCCTTGTTGCTGAGTCTGAGTCTGAGTCTGTCTGTCCTCCGTCTGTCGGGGGTGAGTGTGCTCTTGGCACGGACGTCCTTGAGGACAGACAGGAGGAGTTCCAGTGCTTTGCTGCTGCTTTGCCCCACCTCGTTGTCAGAATAACTAGGCAAGAATGATTGAAAGGAGAGAGAGGTTTGAACTAGCAGGCAGTTGAGTACAAATAGCAAACCCTAGATTGGGCTGTACTCGCTATAGAGTACCCCACTGCAGGCTAGACAATAATAGCATTCTGACACACCCCCATAGCCAAAGTGGGGTGTAATCAGCAGAGCAAGCAAAGCAGTACAAGCTCAGGGTGGATCACAATGTCACCACACATTCTGAGCACAAGTTCAAGAAGCAATAGTTTAAAGTTCACAGTTATGAGCAAAGCTAGAGGCAGTCACAGAGGGCAAGCGAGGAGGAGGAGGGCTGGCGAGAGGAGAGAAGATGAAAGGCGCCGACTGAAGCTGCAGACACACGGGCAACAGGAGCGGCGCGCACAGTGGCTACCGAGCGCACGAGGGCACCGGACTACGGGAGTATCTGGCTCCGCGGCTACGACGAGCACACACAGGAGCAACGGACCCACAGGCGACTGGCGAAGCAGGCTCGCTGGGCTACCGAAACGCGCGAGGGCATCCGGACTACTGGCGCTGCTGGCGTCACGACGGCTACCTCCACGCAATCTCCCCCGACCGTCCCACGCCCCTCTCACACACCCCCTGCTGACACCCTAGCTCCACTCCGACGGTACCCCCCTTAAACCCCAAACCCTAGGCTCCCACACACCACCCCCCTCAGCGGCAGCTGTAGCAGAGGGAGACGAGGGAGGAGGAGGAGCAGGGGGAGGAACTCACAACCGACACCCCCATAGCCGCCACCCCCACACTCTTCACCCCCAAACCCTAATTTAGGAGAACGGGCTGTAGGAGGGGTGAGGCGCCGGTAGAAGCACGGGGGACAGTGGAGAGGGCAGGAGCAGCGAGGAACGGGCCGCCCACGGGCCTGGTAGAGCCGCCCGAACCGCGCGCAGGCGGCCCGAGCCGCGCGCGGGCCTGGCGCTTCCCGTACGGGCCGCGCGCGTGCCTGGCGCAGCCCGTACGGGCCGCGCGCGGGCCTGGCGCAGCCCGTACGGGCCGCGCGCGGGCCTGGCGCAGCCCGTACGGGCCGCGTGCCGGGTGTACGGGCCGCGCGCAGGCCACGACGGGCGACGGGGGGCGACGCGCGGGTCCCCGTCGCCCGTCGCAGCGCCTCCCGGGGGCGACGTGCCGAGTGACGGGGCAGGAACCCGCCGCGCGCCTCGGGGCACACGGCGGGCAGAGAACCGCCGCGCGCCTCGGGGCGCACGGCGGGCAGAAAACCGCCGCGTGCCTCGGGGCGCACGGCGGGCTGAAAACCCTAGTTTCGACGCCGCGCGCCACGGGGCGCGCGGCGGACAGGGAGTAGCAGTAGCAGTAGCAGTAGCAGCGGAAGGCTTAGGTGGTGGGCCCACCCACAGGATCGACCCAGGAGGGTCGACCTGCTCTGATAGCATGTCAGAATAACTAGGCAAGAATGACTGAAAGGAGAGAGAGGTTTGAACTAGCAGGCAGTTGAGTACAAATAGCAAACCCTAGATTGGGCTGTACTCGCTATAGAGTACCCCACTGCAGGCTAGACAATAATAGCATTCTGACACTCGTGTCCATGCTGGTTGCCCCTGAGGGAGACCCGGATGCACCAGACATCCCGACCCCGCGCACTTACGCTGAGGCGATGGCGGGTCCCTACTCCTCTCAGTGGCAGACAGCCATGGACGCAGAGATGGCTTCCTGGAAGTCCACAGGCACCTACGTCGACGAGGTTCCCCCACCTGGGGCGAACATCGTCACTGGCATGTGGATTTTCAGGGTGAAGCGGCCACCGGGTTCTCCTCCTGTCTTCAAGGCGCGCTACGTGGCTCGAGGCTTCAGTCAACGAGAGGGAGTTGACTTCTTCCAGACCTTCTCCCCCACCCCGAAGATGACCACTCTTCGGGTGCTGCTGCACATAGCCGCTCAGCGCGACTACGAGCTTCACTCACTTGACTTCAGCACTGCTTTCTTGCAGGGCAGCCTGCACGAGGAGATCTGGCTGCGCTGCCCTCCTGGCTTCACTGGGTCGGTTCCTCCTGGTACCCAGTGGAGGCTCCAGCGGCCGGTCTACGGTCTCCGCCAGGCACCGCGTGAGTGGCACGACACACTGAGGACGACACTTGCGGCTCTTGGGTTCGCTCCCTCTACTGCTGACCCGTCACTGTTTCTACGCACCGACACCTCGCTGCCGCCGTTCTACATCCTCGTGTACGTCGACGACTTGGTCTTT